GGAGAACGGCTTCCTTCCTCTGCCGCAGAGGAACCCGTTTAAAGCGACCCGCCGGAGCAAATCAAAACACACCTTTCCTTCAGAGACATTCAGCAGGGACGTGAGTGCAGGACAGAGTGAGGGAACATGAGCTTCCAGAACCTTCCGAATTGGCCCCCCAGCTGCAGTCAAGGCAAACTCGATGGCTTCCTGGGGCTTCGTCCCGATGGCGAGCCTGGGAGCAGTCAGGTCATTCCCGAGGGCGCCCCGTGACCCTGCGGCGGCCGCCCGGCTGGAAATGAAGAGGCACGGACTACCCAGGGCAAGCCAGGCACCTGGAAATGGCTTCTGAGGGCCTCTCACATCCTCGGCATAAAAGGCGCTGGGGAAGAGGCGCTTCCTGAGATTGCGCTCTGTCGGCGCGCGAGGCTGTGCCGGGCCATCAGGCGTGCGGTTCTGAGAGCGGTCGGAACGCGCCCGCGGAGGCGGTGCTGTCCCGCCCGTGGCTACGCACGGATCCCCATTCCTAGCGTGCCCCCTCCCCCCGGCTCCCCAAACAGCACTTGGAGCCTCCCGGGGGCACGGGGCGACCGGAAGGATCCAAGGGGGCCGCAGCGGAAGGCAGGTGCCGGAATCCATCCGCAGCCCATCTTCTAGGCGCCTGTGGCAACGTGGAAACGGGCCTGCTCCCCAGTTCAAGTCACCCCAGAACCTCAGAGCGGGGCCCTGTTTGGGAACAGGGTCTTTCCAGGTGTGACTGGTTTAGGGTGTCTGCACGAGATGGATCGGGATCAGGGCGGGTCCTACCGCCAGGGCCTGGTGTCCTTGAAAGAGAAAAGAGAGGGAGGTCGGAGACACAGGCACAGAGAGACGGAAGGGAGGTCCACGTGACGGCAGAGGCCGAGATGGGAATGACACAGCCCCAGGCCGAGGATGCGCAGCGCCACGGCGCGGGGGCCCATCGGAGCAGCCGCGGCGGGGACGCTCCGGGAGCGTCTCTTAGAACTCCGTTTATACGATAGACGGTTTTCACTAGATTTCGTGGTGATCTGGGGCAGTTGGGCGGCTGGCTAGTCACTGAGACCACCTCGTGTGACCACTTCACTCTCCTTGTCCCTCCACCCGGCTTCAGACACCTGTGTCCCCCCCGCCTCCCGGCTGCTACGGCCCCTTCAGCCCGACGGCAGCCAGCGGGTCCCGGCGTTGGCCACCCTCATTCATCAGAAATGTTGCCGTGGCTTCTGAGCGGCACACGGAGCGAAGTCTGACAAACAAATGCTGCAGCGTCAGCGCTACAGGCTCGACCTGGCGAGACCCTGAGAGTATCGCTCCGGGTGGGAACGGCGGCAAGACGTCTGGTCACTTGATGGGAAAAACACTCCACACAACAGATGTTAAAATCCACCAGTGGTTGTTGATCAGGGCGGTTTTTTGTCCCTCCAAAGACACCTGGCACCGTCTGGAAGCGTTTGGTTGTCACGGCGCGAGCAGGTACATTCTAAGGGTGCTACCAGCGCCCTCCGCTGCACAGCACAGCCCGCGGCAGAGGGTTCCCCGGCCCCAGATGAGAAGCCCGGGCACAGACCAGACCTCGCGGCCTGCCGGCCGCCTCCCTCCATCACAGGACACGGAGGCCAGACCGTCGACTGTGCGTCAACGTGTGGTAGCATCGCCATGCAGCATGGCCTGTCACGAGGAAAGACTTTGCGGGTCTCCCAGCGTCCCCACGCCCCCCAGCCCCCGCCGGGTTGCTGGGTCCCGCGGCGGTTACAGCGGGAGGCCGCGTCTGAGACGTGGGGAGCGACTCGACCACAAACCAGATGGCTGCTGCGCTGAATTCACGCTGCTGCTTTTTGCCTGTGGGAGAGGCTCGTTTACGAAAAGGATCTTACGAAGGAGGCTTAGGCCGCGTGTCCGTATGTGCTGTCGGCCTATAAAACTGCCAAGAAGCCCAGGCTGTGACCACCTCCCACAGCCTGGCCAGCCGAGCTGCAAGGCAGGCAGCCGCAGGGGCGCCTGTGGCCTTCACCGTCTGGAGGCGGCTTTCGAGGACCGTCCCCAAGCCGCCCGGGAGTTCCCTGGTAGAAAGGTTCCGCGGACGGGCCACGCCGGCTTCCCTGTGACCTGACCGGCAGCCGTGGGTGGAGGCTGCTGAGTGTCCGGTGGGGAGGGAACGCTGCGCCGCGGGCCTCCGTGGGCCTCTCACAAATGTTGCTGTTTTTGCCACATCTGTAGCCATCCTCTGTAGAGGATTACTGAATTTTTTTTTCCTTAAAACTCTTAAAAATTAAGGCCCTGGCCAGGTGGCTCACTCGATTAGAGCGTCGTCCGGATATACCAAGATACCAGGTTCGATCCCCAGTCAGGGCGCATGCGAGAATCGACCAATGAACATCAACAAGTAGAACAACACACGGCTCTCTCTCTTTCTCTCTCCCCCTCTCAAAATCAACCGTTAAAAAAATTTAAAAATTAAAATTGATTGAATGACAATGAAACATGCTCCCTGGAAAGGGGAAACCTGCCTCTCCCAACGCGTCCCCACCCCAGTCACGGCAGCTGCTCCCCGCCCGCCCGCCGTCGGGGGTCAGCGCCAACGGCCCCCCCGCCACCGCGCCCTCCGTCCCCCCAGGGCGCCGAGCCGCAGCTGGGAGGCTCGGACGGCAGAGCCAGGGATGCTGCCCTCAGGACGCTCTGCTGCGTCCGGCCCAGGGCCATGGGCCGCGACCTCTGCGCTCCAAAAGCTCGCGCCATTATAAGACATCTTTTTTTTTCTCTTTAAACAAAAATCATGGCGAAGTGAGGATCGATGTAGCCTTGAGTGTAAGCAGGGCCGCTGTTGTTTCACTGAGACGCAATGTCCCTTCGCTGCTCAAATAGGATTCAGAGCTTATTGGAAGTTTGATGGATGTTTAAACACAGCCCTGTTAGTGCTGTAGTGGCCAGCCTTCCCAGAAGCCCTTTCAGGTGCCAGGCACTTAGGAGCATCTTACAAATGGATGCTGGCCCACTGGGTCCTCCCGCCCCTCTGGCGGTGGGTACGATGGCACGTCTGAGGCAGAGACGTGGAAGCGGAGGCCCACGGGGTGAGGGGACCTGCCCACGGTCCCCAGCCAGAGCCTGGAACTGGAACCGCTGACGGCCGGACCGGCGCCCCCCACCGTGCTGGTCTAAGTAACGAAAACTACAGAAAAACAGCAATTCCCTCCCTCCACCGGGTCCGAGTCCCCGGCCACAGCTGGAACACTGCGGACGCAGCGGCGCGGCGGCTGGTTCGTTCTCACTCAGCCCCGCAGAGGCGGAGCCGGTGCTTCTGGAGAGGAAGCGCAGGATGGGTTCGGATGGGAAGGTGCTCGGGATGCTGGGGTTTTCTAACTATTGGCTATCCTATCGGTTCCCCGTTTTCTGTCTTGGCTTCCAAATCCAGGGCTGAGCTCTTCATTTTTGGATGGAATGATGTAAAACCGAGAGTGCTGAGGGACACAATTTCCAGCTCAGTGTTTTTCCCATCAAGGCAGGAGGAAAGAACCCAGACCCTTTTATCTAAATAGTTGCAGGTTCAATCCCCGGTCAGGGCACTTACAAGAATCAACCAATGAACGTGTAAATAAGTGTAACAACACATTGTCAAGTTGTAGAGTGAAGACACTTTGAGAAAGTCACCGACACTCTGACGGGGAATTATCCCTTGGCACACAAAATCGGCAGGGGCGGGCTGCTGGCCGCGGCCCCCGATGCCAACGGGAGGGGCGAACTTGGCCTCTTATAAAAGAGGCGGGGTTTCATGAGGTTGCTGAACATGATGTTGTAAAAATCCCACTTCACACCCAAAAAACACTGTCCAAGGAGGGTCTTTTAAAATCAGCCCATCAAACATAAAAACTCTCAAGGTGACGGCAACACACCGTTCAGGGGGAAATTATCCGAACCCGAAGGAAGAAGACACGCCCGGAGAGACCTGCTGCGCCCCTGCTCGGCGCTGCGTGAAACCGCGAAACCGGCTCGGGGGACCGTCCCCGCGTCCCACCACAGGAGGCCCAACACGAACAAAATTTGCTGTAACGAGCCATCGTGCTATTTTGTAAAGATCTGCCCAAGCAACTCCCTCGTCATGCGATTAATTTTTATTCCAAAAAGCACCAAGCACAGCTGCGATCCTAACCTAAGTCCTCCTTAACGATACCAGGAGAAAAGAAAAAAAAACGGACTTTTATCGCCTTTATCTTTTGAACAAATCTCAATCAAATATTCTTTTCCGTGATTATGAGATTCGGGCCCCCATTTTGGGAGGATCTGCTCCAAGCGGCTTCCCCGCCGGATTAACTGTCCGCAGATACGAGGCGCTTCCGCACCGAACTTGCGACTCATCCGTCACAGGACTGACAGGGCCGTGCTATTAAAACTCCGCGCGACGTGCTGAGCCAGCAGGGCTGACGGCAGGCACGCTGCCCCGTTGTTGATGAGTTTAGTTTCTTTTTCCCTTTTATGAGATGGAACGCCTCTGCTGAATAATTTTCTGTCGCCGGGCAGGCCGCTTTGATTGCTGCCAGGCTGTCCTCCTAACCCCGCGTTCTCCCGGCCGCTGACTGGCAACCTTTAACCTCACCCCGAACCTGCGAAAGGCCTGACCCCTGGCCTTTTTCACGTGTCTGCCCAGAGCGAGATGTCTTCCCGCCTACGTCTTTCCTTGGAGTCCCCCCAACCACGTGCTTCCCATCCTGCCGACGGTGTCTGTGTATCGTCCAAAGAGTCCGGGGCTCAAGAACAATCACTCCCTCTCCAAGGCTCAAGGTCGCAAGAGAGCGGTCTCGCCTCGCCCCTCTAGGACCCAGTTCCAGCCTCCTTCCCCTGCCCCCGCACACAGGGAGGTGTGTGGGCAGGTGAGGGAGCAGGCTGCCACGCGAAAGAGGAGGGCCCTTGAGGGCGGGGAACATGGACTCTTCCGGAGTACACCCCCCAAGCATCCGGTCTCACTGCCCACGGGGCAGCCACACCTCCCATGGGCCAGTCTGGGCACCTACCGCAAGATGAAGAGGTCCACGGTGGCGTTGCTGGCGACAGTGACGTAGGCCGTGACCACGTCTCCCTGTCTGACGGGCCGGGAGGGCAGCCAGACGGCCACGTTGCCGTCCAGACGCAGCTCGCTGAGCTGCTCGCTGCTGTCCTGGGCCCGAGAGAGGCCCACGGTGCCAATCCTCTGCAGGGGGGACGTGCCGTCCGGCAGGCCGTCCTTCCCCGGGCGGATGGCGTTGCCCGTCCTGACGTCCGCACCGGCGCAGTCTCCGCGCTCGTCGCCGGCGTGCACGGCGTAGTACAGCTCCACGGCGCCGCCCTCGGCCGCGTCCCCGAGCCTCCGCCGGCCGGCCACCGCCGCGGGGGCGCTGAACCAGCTGGCCAGCAGCCGCAGCTCGGCCACGCACAGCCCCAGCGCCCCGCGCAGCCGGCAGCCGCCGCGCACCTCCCGGGTCTCCCGGAAGGCGAAGATGCGCAGGCAGGGCAGCTGCTCCGCGGGGCCGCGCTCGGCCCAGTCACGGCCCACGATGTGGAACAGGACCTGCACGGTGGGCCGGGACGGGTAGACCTTGTCCTGCAGGATGTGGGCCTTCAGCTTCCAGTTGAAACTAAACGTATCGGCCGGGCCCAGAAAGTTCGAAGCTGACGACAGGTCCAGAGGCACGACCTTCTCCACGGAGAAGGGCCCATAGCTGGCGCTGAGCAGGGGCGGCCTCCGGGCCCTGTAGGTGAAGAAGGGCTCCGCCCGGGACCGCAGGCTGCAGTTGTGCGTGGAGTCCTGGCGGGTCTCCCGCAGGAAGAAGGCGGCCTCCGCCCTGAGGATGCCGTAGCTCACGGGCAGGTAGGGGGGCGGCGAGGAGAAGGGCTGGCTGCCGTCGGGGGCCGTGCGGCCCTCTATCACTGCAGGGGACAGAGGGAGAAAGAGAAAAGGGAGGTGATCGCTGGGCCCCTCGGAAGCCTTTAGGTCCGTAAACAATTGAGAAAACTCGAGACGTCCACTCGCCTCGAGTTTTCATGATCCTTCTGGAACCAGGAAGCCTATCGCCTTGCCCTTGTCTTGCAAGACCAGAACCCAAATGAGCCCCATCCGCGTCCTGACAGGGACGGCGTGTTCCCCGCCTCGCCTGCAGCACCGGCGGCCCAGCGGCAGGTGCGGCAGCCACGTTCCCCTCTCCCCAGGGAGGTCCCCTGACCCTGCTCCCGGGACACCAGCCACCGATCAAAGCTGCCTTCCCCGCTGCAGCCGAGCGGACGTGGCTGTCACCATGACCCTTCCAAGCCACTACTCTGTGCTCAGAGGCCCTGTCCTGAGGTCCTGCCAAAGCAGCCCATTCCGGAAAGGGCCTGGCCGCACACCCTTGAACAAGTCATTCTCGATGGAAGCAACGTGCAATATTTTGTGAATCCAGCGGACGGATTGCCACAGCAGATGCTTTTATTCTGATGTACTCATCTCTCTCCAAGAAAGCTCTTAAATTCTGAAGTGGAGAGATTTGGAGACGCGTTTCTTTGGGGAGAGTGGCAGGCGGGGGCTCCCTGGAGGGACGAGCGTGGCTTCTGAGGCCCGCCCGGGCCGGGAGCACCCACAACGGGAGGCGCTCCAACGGGAGTGCTGCGCTCCGCTCTCCCTGCAAAGCGGGGCTCCCGTTTTCTACTTTCTCATCTTCTCTCTCTCTCTCTCTCTCTCACACACACACACACACACACGCGTGCGCGCACACACACAAATGCCTACAAAACGATCTTTTGCTCTTAAGCAGAAGGGGAGTTTGTTTCCTACGTAGTGGAGCTGCTGGTGGGGCCTGGCCGCCTTGCCGTTTGCCCCCACAGGTTCTTACGTCATCCCAGAGGGCTGTGCTTCGTCCTCGCACGGAGCCAAGGGTCCCTGGTTCGTGCGTTCTGGTAAACCTGGTTCTGAATTTTGCCAGTTCAAGAGAGAGATGAGTTTAGCTAGAAGAGGCAGACATTAACAAGAAGACAGTGGCGTCTGGAGCCACGGCTGCGAACGTGAAGTTTGACCATAGAGAGACTGGGGTTGGTCTGCTCAGCAGCCATGTGATGGTGGGCAGGCACTTCCCTTCTTGGGGCTTCAGCTGCTGTGGATGGACGATGGATGGATGAGGGATGAAGAAATGACCGATGGATGAATAAATAGATGATACATGGAGAAATAAGGGGATGATTAATGGATGGTGGTTACACAGACGAAGGATGGATGGTGGACGGACGGGTGGGTGGATGGAGGATCAGTGGACGGATGTATAAGCGATCAGGGGATGGCTGACGGCTGTCCGGCTGGATGGATACATACGGAGAGAGAAAGGCGGGGCGGCAGACAGAGCTGGATGCATAGGACACAGTAGTATCTTTGTAGAGCGATTACAAAATGGGCCCGCTCCTCCTCCCTCGACCCCTGTGGTACGTGACATCACAATCCCCGCTGCAGGAGAAAGACTCACTCCCCGAATCCAGGCTGGCCGCGAGGCTTGCTGCGGCCCCCACAATACGGCAGGCGGGCCGTGTGCCCCACCCCAGCTCTCCCAGCTCTCCCGAGGCGCCACGCACTCTTCCACGACCTCTCCCGCGGACGCCTGCCGGACACCTGCCGTCACCAGAGGGAGCCAGCCCGGGCTGGCCTGCTGGGGGCGGGGACCACGGGGAGGGGGTGGGGTTCTCCCGGCTTCCTCCTCGGCGGGGCTCTGGTGACTTCATTCCGTGCCCACGTCCCTCCAACACCAACCACGTGGGCGCTCGTGAGAACAGCCCCCCACCCGGGGCTGCGCGAGGCCCGCTCCGCACCCCTCCATGCTACAGCACTGTGTGTATCACCTGAACTCCCCTCACACTGTGGGGAGCCCCGGTCTGGCGGCCTCGGGAAGCAGAGGGGGTTGCCGGCCTCGGCCGTATTGCTCCCCTGACACTGTCCCCCGACAACAGGGCCGCACTCACGGCTGCCGCGACGCAGCGAGCGCTGACAGATATCCCCCCGCGCACCCTGCGCCCTCTGCTCCCACAACATCTTGCAGAAAGACAGGGTCGCTGAGTAATTCTTATTGATCGGGCAAAGTCCAATTCTAGTTTCCTCGGGCCCTGGGAGAGGGGGGCAGGGCGCCCGCTGACAGCTGTCCCTTTCTATTGGCCCCCGGCCGACAGCACGTTTGTCTGCCGTACCCTGCCGCGGATCCATCGTCCTTATCGGAGCCGCTGTCAGCAGCGGAGATATTGTGTCTTCCATCAGGGGTCCACCCAGGAGCTCGACGGCACAGCCGCGGCCGGAAATTGAGTTTTTGAGACTGTGAGATAGTGAACCCAGGAGCACCCCTGTCACTCAGCGCGCAGACAGAGGAAGACGGGGACGACCCTTCCTGCCAAGGTCGTGCATTGCCACCGCCACCGTACCCACTTTGGGACGTGCGGACAGGGCAGAGCTTAGGGCTGGTCCTCTCTGAGCCTCGACGGGAGGGGCAAGGCAGACGGGGGCGGGGGGACCAGCGGCCTGGCGACGGGGTTCGAGGGCCCGGGAGCCTGAGCAGAGGGCGGGTGGGGAGAGAGCGGCCCCGGGCTGGGCAGGGAGGGAGTCCGCCTCGGAGGCCAGGCCGGGGCCAGCTGTGCCCGAGCAGGGGCAGCAGTAGAGGCTCAGGAGGGACCTCGATGGAGGCCCTCAGTCCTGCTTTCCTCTTCTGTCGGATACGATAAAGACAGACATTCCTGGAATTGAAGGCAAGTCAATCCGCACGTGGCGCTGCTTCAGGGCGCGGAGGGGCTTTCCCAGGAGCGGCCAAGCCAGGGGCTCTCTGCAAGGGGCGACCTGGCCCCCGGGAGGTCCCCCTGGGACCGTCTGAGACACTCATGACTCACAACTGGGGGGGGGCTGCTGGCGCCCAGGGGGCACCGGGCGGTGAGGCGGGAAATGCCCCCCAGTGCCCAGAACGGGGCTGCCACCCGGAGGCGTCCCGTCCGCGTGTCAGGGGTCCAGTGGACACCGGGGAGGTGGTGCGACCGCACCGCCCGGCCCAGGAACAGGTGCGTCCCAGCGGCTTCCGGGGCCCCTGCAGTCAGACTAGACGAGAGTGAGGGGAGGCGCCGCACGAGTGCCCTGGGGCACCACGCAGCCGCGAAGGGCGCATCCGGCCGCTGGCGAGGGCGCGACGGGCCTCGGGGGCTGCGTGCGGACCGAGGCACGTCAGGCGGCCAAGGACAAGAACCGTGCGGTTCCACTCACCGGTGGGATAGAACCCGGAGCCACAAACCAGGCGGCCGAGAAACGCTCACAGGCACAGACCACAGTGTGGCGGCCACCAGAGGGGAAGGGCGTTGGGGGGCAAAGGGGGTGCAGGGGCCAAACGCTTGGCGACGGAAGGAGACGCGGCTTCGGGCGGCGGGTCCACGACTCGGCGCGGATGGCGCACCGCAGAACGGCGCGCCTGCGGCCTGGGCCGCGTTCCTGATCGATGCCACCCCAGGAAAGTTAATAAAATAAAATGAATCCTTGTCTCCAGCGAACTAGATAAGGTTTTTGTTTGTGTTGGGGTGTTTGTTTGTTTGTTTTACAAGTACCTTAAACTTATTGAGCTTCAGAATCTTCACCTTTATCATGGAAATCATATCAAAACCCCCTCATGTGAAGGTAAGCAAAACACCCAGCATGTGGGTTATGCCTGACAATTGAGAGACGTTTCTGTTGCTATAGTAATAATGACAATAATAATAAATAATAATAATAAATGGCCCCAGCTGGTGCGGCTCAGTGGACTGAGCACCGGCCTGAGAACCAAAGGGTCGCTGGTTCAATTCCCCGTCAGGGCACAGGCCTGGGTTGCGGGCCAGGTCTCCAGTGGGGGCGCGTGAGAGGCAACCACACATGGGCGTTTCTCCCCGTCTTTCTCCCTCCCTGCCCCTCTCTCTAAAACCAAATAAATAAAATCTAAAATAATAATAACTGTAAATGGTGATAACAATAATGATGGTAATAGTAGTATTATTATTACCATTATTTCAATCGTGTTGATGCGTTATAGCTAAAAGTTTTCAAGGCTACCAGAATGTGAAAAAAAATGGGTGCTATTCATAATTTGCGGAAAAAATTAGGTGAGGAAAAAATCCGAACTCAAGAAGCTGCGTCGGAGGTCACGAGCTGCATGTGGCCGGGGCTCGGGCTCCCGCATCGGACGCCGCAGGACAGGCCGCCTGCCGTCCCCGTGCCCCACGGAACCGCGACCGGTCCCCTCGCGGTCACCCAGCTTGCATGCCACGCGAGCGGCCTGAGCGCTCGGAAGGGCTTTTTCCCTCCCTGTTTGTGATTTATTAACACTCGCCCGACAGAACGCCTCTCTCTGCTAAATGTGCCTCATTGTTTCTTTTTCGTGAAACAAAAGGCACCTTGATGGATGGATTATTTCACTTTGATGCCTCTTCTGAACAAATCTCCCTGCTGAAATTCCACAGAGTGATTTGCCATTTCAGGACAGTAACAATCTCCTTTAAAAGGGCAGGTACGGGTGTCCCCTCTGAGCCCCGGATGGGGAAGGCCCCCTTTGCTCCAGGACAACCCCCCCAATTTCCCTCAGGCCCCTGGAAACAGAGCGAAGCAGCCATGCCTTCCAAAGACGAATTCTCTAAAACACCAGAATCCTAGACTTTATGAGCACGAGAATGGTTCCCAGAGAAATACTGACCAGGCCAAGTGATAACTCAAACGCGATGTTCCAGCGGCACTGTGTTTGTACTTCCTGCCACGGCGCTTGGCAAAGAGCCCGCGTGGTGGCCACGTGGCTGATCCCTGCACCGCCGTCCCCTCGGTGGGGCTCGGAGCCCAGGACCACGAGCAGCTCTGACAGGCTCAAGCCAGGGCCCCCCGGGGAGGGCCCCCCACCCAGGAGATGTTGTATCAGTTTCCTATT